CAAGCCTCTGTCCTACCACTGGCGTTTTTGGACACCTTCCTTTTCAATTTTTACATCTAAGAAAGAATGTTGGAGATCTGATTTCAAATACTATGGTAGGGTGTGTGAGATGGTTCAGCAGGTGGAAATGCCTATTACCAAGAGTGACAACCTGAGTTCAATCCCCAGGACCCACATGGTGGAAAGAGAGAACAAACTCCTTCAAGCTATCCTCTGACCTCCAGGAATGCACCATGGCACACATGCACTTTCACACACACACACACACACACACACACACACACAATAAGTATAATAAAAAAATTCAAATACTAGCTGGACGTGGTGGCACAGGCCTTTAATCCCAGCACTCTGGAGGCAGAGGCAGGCGGATCTCTGTGAGTTAGAGGCCAGCTTGGTCTCCATAGCGAATGCAGGACAGCTGGGGCTACAGGGAGACCCTGTCTCAAAAAGACCAAAAAGAAAAAAAAAAAAATTGTCAAATACTGCAGCAAAATCTGAGAAAGGATATTGGAGGAATGAAACAAGTTTAGGTATGGGTTGATCATTTGTCACACGTCCATGAAAGGTGCGTGGGAGTTCATTATCCTATTTCCTCTACTTTGGGGCATGTTTGAAAATTTTCATAGCCATCCACTTTTTAAAGAGTGGAGTGGGGGATTGATTGTACGTTTGTCGTGCAGTTCCCGTGAAATCCAGAGACGCTGCGACAATCACGGTACATTTACTAGCGATTTATGGACAACCAGGTACCCAGGACATGCCTGGCACGTTTCCTGTGACTTTTCTGGCCCGCCTGTGGACCAATGGTAGCAAGAGCCTATTAGTAAAGGAATCCCAGGCCTCCCGCAGGCTCCTCCCCTTTCTCGCTGTTTCTCGCCCCCCCTCACGCCCCGCCCTCCGAGGAAGCGCCGGCTGGGGCCCAGCAGGTGTGGGGTTAAGGCAGCCAGTTGGGGGCCCCAACAGCGCAGCAGCAGCAGCAGCAGTAGCAGCAGCAGCAGCAGCAGTAGCAGCAACTGTGCGGTTGTGGCAGTCCTGGCACCGGGCCAGCTGGCAGAGCGCCCCAGGAGGGAGGAGGGAGGAGAGAGGAGGGAGGAGGAAGAGGGGAAGGAGGAGGAGGAGAAGAGCTGTGAGCAGGCCCGAGGAGGCAGGACTTCCTGGTGTGGGGGTTGTCAACAGCCCAGAAAGAGAGAGAGACGGAGAGACATAGACACATCCAGTGGGGCCACGCGGGAGGAGCCACTCAAAGGGACCTGGAGCCAACCGGGGGCCGAGTCTCCCCCTTCCGCAGCGTCGGAGAAGACCCGTGGAGTATCCGCAGAGGCTCCGCCTGGGTTCCACCGTGGAAGCGCGAGTTCCTTCTCTCGTCCACTGCAAACTTTCCACCGAGATGCCTCTCAGGGTGAGATGCGGACCCCGGAGAGCACTGGCTAGCGCTTGATCGCTGCCTGTGGTGGCCTGCACTGCCCAGGGGGCCAGGAGGCCCCAGAAAAAAGACATCTTTAAGCCCCCAGGTCCTCCCACCCTCCGGAGCTCGGCTCGGAGGCTGAGGCCAGAGAGGTAGGTAGGTAGGTAGGACGCCCGGGCTGGGCGGGGCGCTCGGCTTGGCGGGCAGTGCCTAACTCATCGATGGGGGGGAGCGGGGTGGGGGTGGGGTGGGCTTGAGGCCCTAGCCGAGGCCTCCGGGTGGCTGTACCAGGGCGGGGAGCCCATTCACCCCTTTGCCCCGGGGCCCTGGAGACCGGTGCTGGTCCGGACACTTCTGTCCCTTGAGTTTGGATCTCAAGCAAGAAACATCCCAACTTTGGGTCCCAACTGCTGCTTCCTATTCTGGGGTGCCATGTCCCCTCTGCTCCGGTCTGTCATCTCTGCTTGTCCCTGGGTCAGTCTCAGTGGCTTTCTCTTTTCTACCCCATTCGTCGGCTGCTCAGAGGGGAAGCCCGGGAGGTGGCCTGCCCCTGCCTTTTTACTCACATACATACACATATTCATATATTCTCTCTCTCTCTCTCTCTCTCTCTCTCTCTCTCTCTCGTTTGCAAGCTCAGCTCTGGGGTTTCAGCAGCGACAGCAGCAGGAAAAACCTGCCCCTGCCCCCCTCCCGCCACCTCCCCTCTCCTGAACTCCAGTTACCAACCAGGCACCCCCAGTTCCCAACCAGGCCCTCCTGCCATGTCGGACCCAGACATCCCCAGGGGCCCCGATGTCCCTGCCATGTGGCCCCCCTGTTCCAGAGGTGCCTGAGCCCCTTTCCAGGAGCCCAGCCCCTCCCCCGCCCCAGCCCAGTCCGGAGCCCCAGGGACCATGAGTGGGGGTAAGAAGAAAAGTAGTTTTCAAATCACTAGTGTCACCACGGACTACGAGGGTCCAGGGAGTCCAGGGCCTTCGGATTCCCCTGCTCCCCCGGCTCCCACTGGGCCGCCACCCCGCCTCCCCAATGGGGAACCCAACCCTGATCCAGGAGGCAGGGGCACCCCCCGGAATGGCTCCCCACCACCTGGAGCCCCCGCCTCCCGTTTCCGAGTGGTGAAGTTGCCCCAAGGCTTGGGAGAACCTTATCGCCGAGGTCGGTGGACGTGTGTGGATGTTTACGAAAGAGACCTGGAGCCCTCAAGTTTCGGCCGGCTGCTGGAGGGAATTCGAGGGGCCTCGGGGGGCACTGGAGGCCGGTCATTGGATTCTCGGCTGGAGCTGGCTAGCTTGGGGCTGAGCACCCCCATCCCACAGCCAGGCCTGTCTCAGGGCCCCACCTCTTGGCTGCGCCCGCCCCCCACTTCTCCTGGGTCCCAGGCCCGCTCCTTCACAGGGGGTCTGGGCCAGCTGGCCGGGCCCGGCAAAGCCAAGGTGGAGACACCTCCCCTGTCGGCCTCTCCACCCCAGCAGCGCCCCCCAGGGCCTGGGACTGGGGATAGTGGCCAGCCCCTGCCCGCTGTGAAAGTAGAAGTGGAGTCTGGGGGTTCAGCAGCTGCGACCCCTCCACTGTCACGGAGAAGAGATGATGTGGTTCGACTGAGGATGGAGTTGGCTCCAGAGGAGACAGGGCAGGTAAGAGACCGGCTTCAGGGTGGTGATTTGGGAGGGCTGTACCCAAGCCATCTTACCCTTGGCCTAACTTATATCCTGCCCCCCGCCCCGTTTCTGCTGTGACCTGTCTATCGGACAGGACTGAGAGTCTCTTCTCTTTTTACAATTGTACCTTGAAATCCTATCCCCTTCTTTATCTCCCAGCCTCCCTCTCTGCATTCTGTTGGCCCTTCCTTCCTTCCTTCCTTCCTTCCTTCCTTCCTTCCTTCCTTCC